TCCTCAATCACAACATCAAGCCGAGCCACCGATTCCACCAACAATGCCACGAAAGCCGCAAACGGAAGCGCTTCCGAGAACTCCAAGCTCGTGATAGCAAGCTTGCTTAACATAGGCCTCAAAACCCTCCTCTCCCCCTCCGGTTTCACCCTCGGTGAGTACTTTTCGGATTTCTGGCGAGCAGTTGCCGCAACCATGGCTAGCATTTTGGCCGTGTTGTTCGGACAATTCGGCCCCAGAAAGAGCCTCGGTTGAGACTTTAATGCGGTGTTGAGGTCTTGCAGTGCCTGGTGAAGATGCTCGGTCAGGATTTCCGGCGAGCAGTGTCGCCGGTTTCTTATGCTGCCGGCGAGTTCCATTAGAGATTTTGTTACCTCTGATACAAGGCGAATGCATGGATCCTTGAATAGCAGTCGAACTGATCTTGGAGTCTAAAAAAATCGAAGCCACATTTATACGGTTAGTAAAACAATAAGTGGCCGTTTACTAAATGCTTACTTATCAAGTCATATTCCCTTGTCGGATGAATATGTAAAAACCAAAAATCTTACCTGGTAAGAGCGAAGGCATGAACCGAGAGTCTTACCAGGTAAGTGATGGCGACGACTCTTACCACGGTTAACTCTTACCGGGTAAATTGTTACATACAATATCGTTTTGGTAGACTAAAATCTTACGTGATAAATAAGAGATAGAGTTGAATTTTACCATTATGCGCTTACCGGGTAAGTGTTTAGTTAGAAGGCCCCTAAGTCGATAACATTTCTTATTTTTTTTTTAAATGTTAGTCACATAAATTGTGATATATAATTTTTTTAATATTGTTATATAATGAATAATTTAGATTTTTTTAATAAAAAATAAAGTACAATATTATAATAAGGAAATTTGTGGTGGTAAATTGTTATTTCATTATCCTTAAAAATATTGATATGGCAACTCATAAAGCGTCGCAAAATAAAATACATCCGTCGAAAAAAACTTACCCGGATTTCGGTTTGTACAGTTCCGTGAAGAGCAACAACTGCGTAACCAAAATGACGAAGAATGCCTCCTACTTTTACGTATTGTTGCCACGGAAATTTGTTGCGGCAATGCCACGAGTGTCTTGGCTCCCAACTTGCATGTCGCGCCTGTTTATATGAATCACTGTAATTTCAGATAAATAAAACGGTGTTATGTTAAACTTGTTAATGAAATATAAGAGCTTACGATTGTTTCGTCAGTCGATTTTGAATCTAAAACGGCCTTATAGTTCGTGTAAATCGGGTCCTCCATGGTCTCGTCTATTTCTAGATTCGGATCTTCGTCATTAAAGTATTTATCGACACAAGCTGCATTAATTGTGTTTAAAAAACATAATTAAGCAAATAAGTAATAACTTTTATACAATATGCAAACAAAAATTAGCTTTAATTGCAAACTTAGGTACCAGAAGACAAAGCAGAGTGTGTCATGTGTCCCAGACATTAACAGGATATTCATTACAAATGAGACATGTGTCGCATTCTCCTTTGTCCACAGTTCACAACGGAAAACAGGTTTACAACTGAACTTTCTTATGGTGCAAATATATCAAGATGAATGTATTATGTATACCTTCGATCGATCTTGCAAGGCCTTCGATTTTGGTAACAGTTGAATTATGGAGATCTTCTCCGGACCAAATCGGGAAGATGAAAAGAGTCATAAGAATGCAAACCCCGGAACCAATTGCGATCGCGTAAATGCGACCTTTTGCTACTTTTAAGATATCATCGACACGATAACTTGATACAGTGATCAAATTAAATGTCAAGAGGAATACGAGGACACCATAATCATAATTCTTTTTTATGTTCGGGAAAAACCTCAAATATGTAACCGAAGCACCTGCGAAAATGAAATGAAAGTATGTATTTATATCTCGAGAAATTAATTCGATACATACTTGTTGCAATAAGTTCATATATATATAAGAAATCGATTTCTATTAATTACCTACTAGAAAGATCGAAGACCCGATGAAAACAGCTCGAAAAACCTTCCCATATTCTCTAGCTATAAACTCGAATAAGAAGGCTAACAATGCAGCCAACAGCGTCCCGGATCCTCTATTTAATCCTTTGCATAATGTTGCGCCTATGAAAATAATCATAGAACGATAATTATATCGAGCTTTTTCTTGTGTATATCGATATCAATATAAGCATCTATTCATTTGTACGGTATGCAAATGTGCATACAAGTAATTGAAGATGTTTCTCGATTTTTATACTTGTGTGCATGTTATGCCACATATATATACACCGGACATATTGCTTACAAATAATTTTTATCCGGATTAAGATTAACAGTGTGTTTCTCAGTTTTTTCATTTTTTTTATGAGCATATGCGCGCGCGCGTGTGTGTATATATATATATATATATATATATATATAAATATATATATATATATATATATATATAAAAGAAGGATATAAGTTACCAGCAGTGAATTCAAGCACAACGACGACGGTCATGACAGCCCAAATAGCATTCTGTCCAACCCCTTTGAATAATGGCTCCATTAAGTA